AACAACCCGAAGCAATAACCAAATATAATATTCATCGGTATTAGAAGGTGGAACATGAACCAATCTTGCAACATCGGTAATCACATTAAGAGGAATCCACTTTGCAATAATAGGATCCCATTATACCTAGAAGAGAATTCCACATATGTGAAATCTCTAGTCGAAGAACACAAGCGATTGTAATCCAACCAGCTCATAAACTGAGTTTGTTTAACTGCTGTACATGAAATCGTATCATGAATGAGACCACCATCACCATAAACAATTAGTGGAAGAATGGGTAGATGAAAGGTAAGGACAATTTCAGTCGATCGGTGTGAACTACCCATATAAACCAAATCACCTATACAATGAACACATATAGTAACATAAAAAAAACTGATATATACTTATTTTAACTAACATGCATATTAGATAATTTCATAATAGTTTAAACGTAAAGCTAACTACAATAGTTAAACAATATATGCTTTCTTGTCCGAAACAAAATAAAAGCGTACCATAGGTATCATCTGGGGAACACATATTATCCAAAACCGGTGGCTAATGTGAATGTCGCGAAAGAGAATGGCTGATGTTGTTGGTAGATGACATTGTCTGAATCCCAAATCATTCAAACAAATAATCAGAACATCGCATATGAATTAAAAAAAATACTTACTATGATTTGTGAGGATTTTTCATAAAAACACAAAGAAACCGACCTGTTTYGGAGAAGAGGAAAAGRAKYTTKTTTCGTARWAGAAAAACACAAACTTTATAGACCCTAGATTGATAGGAATAATAAAAGGATAAGTATATTTGATCTTCCATAAACAAACGGCCTTATTTATACTTTTTTAAGAGATAAGTATATTTTCTAAAAAGATTAGTATATACCGAACTATACATATATCTAGAATTTAAATAAAGAAAATGTAACTGCTACAAAGAATAAGTAAACTCAAAYTTAATYCGTATGTTGYTTATACGGAAACAATACAATATGGTTGATAAGGAAACAAAGTAAAAGGTCACTATTATATTATATGACTAATATGTCAACTACAAATATAACTTTGGTTACCAAAAAAAAAATAGAAATATAATTTTTATTAGATTCGTTATATATGATATACTAAGCAATGTCAATGTTAAGATTCATGTTTCAACCAAGCGAAAAATATAGAAATTATCATTATATACAAATCATAATTTATTTATATAAGTTATTTTATATCCAAAAGGAATTAATCAATTCATCACCAATATCCAAAAGTTTGGATCATCTCTAAACTTTAGCTCAACATAGCTATAAGCTAATCGAAGTGGTCGTTGTATTAACCCTATAATATATAACAAACGAAATAATACGAAATTTATAAAATCGTACATGAAAGAATGGTMTGAGAGTTAAACCAAAGATACACATCACCAAAA